TGTAGCTCAGGTCCAGCTCCTCCAGATGAGAGGGGTTGGACTCTAGAGCTGAGGCCAGATGAGCACAGCCGTCTCCTGTGACCAGACAACCTGACAATCTGAGGAAACAGAGTGGTTTGTTTGTTAGCATGCATGGTCGGAAATGCACTCTTATAAAAACCTATCGCAAGTTGTAATTGTCTTGCATCCTTGAACAAATATAAGAGAACCAATGTAAAGAAAATTTACGATACCTCAGTATCTTCAGTCTGCAGCAGTGAGTGGACAGTCCACCACAGAGCAGCTTTACTCCTGAATCTTTCAGGTCATTGTTGCTCAGATCAAGATCTCTTAAAGGTAAGTAGGGGAACTTCAGACCAAAGGCCAGGTGTTCAACCCATTCTTCTGTCACTTTGCATAGTGCTAATCTAGGGATGGAAAATATGATGAAGGAAAAGTGCAATCATTTAAGGATGAGGCTAAATATATAATAACGTTTTTATCAGGCTTGGGAAGCATTAAACCTACTTTGCCTTCCTGCTGATCCTCACTGCTGGTATCAGTCTCCTTCTTCCTTCGTCTGTTGTGTTGAAACTCTTCAAGTCCAACAGCTCCAGATCATTCTTCGATACCTGCAGCATGTATGCCAGTGCAGAGCAGTGCAGGGGAGTCAACTCTGTTTTGGCACGCTCTGGCAATCTGAGGTATTCCTCAATTTCATCCTTGACTTTGTGATCCCTCATCTCAACCATGGTCTGGAAGAGGCTGATACAACTCTCTGGAGGAAGGGTCCTTTGTATCGCCTTGAGGTGAGTTAAGATTTTCTTTTCGGTATCTTGGCTTGGGTCTGGGGATTCCAGCAGACGCTTAAGAACTCTACGATTGTCTTCAACCATGAGGCCAAGGAGGAATCGCATGAAGAAGTCCAAGTGGCCGTTCTTTTTCTCCAGCACTTTCTCAACTGTCAGCTTTAGGAGATCAAGTAGGGTATGGTTCTTGCCCTTCAGATTAAGAAAGTCGCTGAGCTCTTTTGTTTTGTGGTTTGTGAAACAGTCATACACATACAGTGCTGCGAAGAACTCCTGTACGGTCAGGTGCACAAAGAAGAAGACCTTATTCTGAGAAAAGACCTCTTCTTCCCTGAGGACTGCAGTGCAGAATCCAGATTGGATGATTGCCTCTTTTAGGTCTAGGCCAATATCTTGAAGGTCTTCATCGTAGAAGATGAGGTTGTTCTTCTGCAGGTGGATGAACGCAAGCTTGCCAAGTTTCAGAAGCAAGTCCTTGTTTGTCTTCAACAGTTGGTCTTTGTTTTCCTCTGTCTTCTCATAGTATTTTCTATTTTTACGTACTATCTGGGCGAACAGGAAATGTCCCATCATCTCCGTAAGAGTCTTCGGGATGTCGGCCTTCTCATGTCCTTCAAAGATCTCCTTGAATAATACAGCGGAAATCCAGCAGAAGATTGGGATCTGGCACATGATGTCGAGACTCGGCGATGAGTGAATGTGTGAAATTATTCTGTCAGCAAGGCCCGAGTCACGACTGAATCGCCTCCTGAAGTACTCCTCTTTTTGAGGGTCGCTGAACCCTCTGATCTCTGTAACCATGTTGACAAACTCTGCAGGGATCTGATCAGCTGCTGCCGGACGGGAAGTTATCCAGAGTTTAGCATTCGGAAGAAGGTTACCCTTGATGAGGTTTGCAAGGAGATTAGCCACAGATGTTACTTCACTGACAGATGTTACCTGCTTGTTCTTAAAGTCCAGTTCAAACCGACTTTCATCCAGGCCATCCAGGATCACTACGACCCTGGCTCTCACAAGATCCTCTGAATTCTTAAGTTCGTGGAGTACAGGGTGACTTTCAGTCAGAAGCTGATGCAGACTTTTTCATTTTCACTCAAATTGATCTCTCTGAAAGCAAGACAGAAAATGAAATCATGTCCTGGTTTTCTCTCCCCTCGGCCCAGTCAAGAATTAATTTCTGCACAGTGAATGATTTTCCAATTCCTGCCACGCCCTTCGTCAGGACTGTTCTTTTCTGTTCAGGCAGAAAGTTGAAGATGTTCCTGAGGTTGACCGTGTTATTAAGAGATTCTGGTGCCGACTTTTGTTTGATACTTCTGAAAACATGTTCTTCATGAGGCCCTTCACTTTCTTGAATGGTGATCAAGAGCGCTGTGAATATGCTGTCCAGAGAGTTCCCTGAGTCACCATTACCTTCAGATACCATCTTAAACTTGTTTTGCATTGCTTCTTTAAACTTCTTATTTTCTACCAATAAAGGACTGGCCCCTGTAACAATGAAAAGCACATTAAATAAAAACATTTTTATTTTGATATGACTTATCAACAAGTACTTTCCTTAAAAGGCAACTTTGCAAATTTTCCTTACAGAAAACGTATTCCTTCTCCAAGAGAAGCAAGTACAAAACACTTACTAATGCATTCCTCAATGTCTTTCTGGCGGTTTGATTCTTTTCCGGGTTTCTTTCCGCTGTAGGTATGAACAGGAAAAGTCAAATTATTCCTTTAAGTAATGTATCAGATTTCAAGTCTCTAGGTTCCTTTCTATCCAATGGTTCCTAATACCTAAGGAAGGTTCCTCTAGAGTAGACCGGTTTGGCATAGTGTAGCTAGCAAAATCATCCAAACTACTGCAAGAGCAGTCGGCACTGTATAATTTCTATTCCATGCTTTTCGTGGTTTACATTAAATTACCTTTGTTTGTCTTTGAGACCAAAATCAATCCCCTTGTACATGGATCCATCACTCTTCATAGAAACAACGCTGGGTGCTGAGGAACTCCCTCTCCGACCTCTGTAAGGAGATCAACAAATGAAACAAGATCTCTAAAACATGTTTGTACTACCAGTGTTAACTTTGACTCTGTAGTTCAATGGTTTTAACCAAAGACTGTAAAAAAGCACAGACTCAGTCTCAGTGACTTCACCCATTCATGTCTGAAGAGTTGTTATGAAGAACAAAGACAGAAGTTTCCATTTCAGAAAAGCTGTCTGAACCTAACTTTCAATCAATCTAGAAACAGGAAAAGAGGATGAGCTTCAGCCTTAAATGGGTACTGCAGTCTAAATTCTAAACATCATAGAGAGCTGTCTCCCCCCCCTCTGTAGAGTGGATGCTCACTCAGGTCACCATGTGGTGGACTCTGAAGCTTCAGTGTTTATCCAGCTCTGCATGGGTCTGTAAACCTTTCTGTGTTCTAACCTCTCTCCATTTTTCAAAAGCATCTCCAATATTGATCCTAGTTTGAGCACGTTTCTGCTCGTGGAGCTTATTAGAAACATGCAGAGGCTTTTTAGGTCGGGTACAATCACTTCTATCTGAACCACTTCTCTTGACCGCTTCCATCGCTGCAACACCTGTTGACCTGATAACTGCTCTCATATCTGGCAAACCGAGGGGTGTCCAAAACGGTCGGGGGTCGCCTTAAAAGCGTCTACCTTCTCTGGTCCAAACAAATCCAGAGCATTCAGGAGCAGAATCTAAAGTTAGAAGGAGGACATACTGGCTGCTGCATTGTTGTCAGAGAAGCCAGCACTTCAACATAGCATGTTTCCTTAATGATCAGAGAGTAAGATACCTTTATCATCTCACTCTCTACACATCTCACTGATTGGACCTTTAGGCCTCCTGACGAACAGCTACAACAGGTGAGTGTGTCCATCAAATAGTCACATCCCTACTTATGAATAACAGAGGTATGAAGACGTCATCTTAATCTAGCGGACACAGTTCAGTTTCCAGAGATTCACAAATAAGATAAGATAAGACTTTATTGTCCGTTTGAACAGAAATGTTTTCTTGCATTACAAACTCAGAGATCCTCTCATCACAATCAAATCACACTCAAACATAAAAACAGCAAAAGCTGCATTCAAAATCACAAATGATAAAACTGAATTCACCTCTTTAACCCTCTTTATAAATCTTCACCTTGATATGCTTTAACATGACAACTATTTTCTGTATTTCACAGAATCCTTTAATTTACCTTTGTTTGTCTTCTTGACCAAAATCAATCCCCTTGTACATGGATCCATCACTCTTCATAGAAACGACGCTGGGTGCTGAGGAACTCCCCGTCGTCTGGCTGTAAGGAGATCAACATATTAGACGTTTGACAGATGTGTTAAAAATGTTTAATGTTTAACTTTTTGGTAATTGGGCATACATTTTTCCATTTCATTTAGAAAGTTTGAAAATTAAATACTGGCTCATTGGCGATTATTCATCATGCTAATAAAGCAACTAAAATTTTTCAAAACTCAAAATATTGTCCAGAGCCGGGGTCTCCAACAGGTAGCTCGGGAGCTACAGGTAGCTCGCGGGCAGGTTTTCAGTAGCTTGTCTATAGATTGACCGACTGTGTTAAAAATAAAAATAAAAATCTGACGACGGTAAATGCACCTCTTCCCACTATTCATATATTTGGCCCATAAAAACAAGTATGAAGTTTGCGAATGTTTTCTTGGACATTGATGTGAATTTAAGATTATTGATAAGCATTGGCTTATTGCAATTTCACACAAACAGTACAAATGTACAAACAGTAGCTTAATTCAGCTGAGCTATGTAAATAAATGCAAGCGATTTGATGCAAGTAGCCCTTGGCCACTTTAATTTTTTGAAAGTAGCTCTCAGATAAAAAAGGTTGGAGACCCCTGGTCCAGAGTATACAGAGTACATGTATGTACATGTACATTGTACATGGATCCATCACTCTTCATAGAAACATCACCGGGTGCTGTGGACTCAGTATCACTGAAAGTAGTTTAAATTAAAGTACAAAATAAAACACAGCAAACTGATTGTTGTTTACACATTTAAATTTCATGAACCACTGGTGAAACATTGTTCAGATTCTGATACATGAAGAGTCTGCCACAACACTCCCCCTCCCCCTTCCTCTTGACGCCACACTTCCTCTTTAACGATTGGCTGAAACAGTACCTGAAAGGTTCAGCGCTGGTGCTGATTGGCTGTTCAGACTCCTCAGACAGAAGAGCACTGAGCTTCCTCTTCTTCCTCCTCTCAGCCATCTCTTCAGCTGCAACACGAGAGAGGAAACTTTGTAAGAGGTGAGAAGTGTTTGATAACTGCATCACAATAAAACACATTTAATACAAAGACACTACAATTTAAAATGATTTTAAATATTACAGTAAATGTGTTTGTGTGGAGGAAAGGGACAAAAGTTGATCAAAACAAATCAAATCTGGTCAGTTTATTAATTAATAATAAATGTAACTTTCTTTTTCATTCTTTATCAGTACGTGTTATGAAGTTAATTTCATGCATGCGTGTTAACTTCTGAACGCCACATTTCTCTATTCTGAAACTTAACCAGAGAGTTTTATTATTGTGTTAAATCTTAAAACCGTCAGACTACAAACTCCAACTACTGAATTCTTCCTGAATGAAAAAACATCAATGACATAAACAAACCCAATTAACTTGAATTACTCAGGTTACAACATGACGTGTCATGTGACTGCAACTTAAAAACAGGAGCTACGCACTTCGGCTGTAAACCACACACGGACACACACACACTCATTAGCTCCTCTGACGTCACAACAGGTGAAACACGAGATCACAAACTACGACTTACGTCAACCCTCCTCCAACACTTCAGTCTCCTTGTTGCTCTTTTTGACAAAAATTCACGGAGCGCAAATAACCTGGAAATCTCCACAGAGTTTACTTTCGGTTTCGACGCTCCGCCCCCGTCTCTCTCTCTCCCTCTCTCTCCCTCTCTCTCTCTCTCTCTCCTCTCTCCCTCTCCTCTCTCTCTCTCTCTCTCTCTCTGTCTCTCTCTCTCCCTCTCTCTCCCTCTCTCTGTCTCTCTCTCTCTCTCTCTCTCTCTCTGTCTCTCTCTCTCTCTCTCTCTCTCTTGTCTCTCTCTCTCTCTCTCTCTCTCTGTCTCTCTCTCTCTCTGTCTCTCTCTCTCTGTCTCTCTCTGTCTCTCTCTCTTCTCTTTGTCTCTCTCTCTCTCTCTCTCTGTCTCTCTCTGTCTCTCTCTCTGTCTCTCTCTCTCTCTCTCTCTCTGTCTCTCTCTCTCTCTCTCTCTCTTTGTCTCTCTCTCTCTCTCTCTTCTCTCTCTCTGTCTCTCCCTCTCTCTCTCCTCTCCTCTCTCTCTCTCTGTCTCTCTCTCTCTCTCTCTCTCTCTCTCTCTGAGTGGATTGTGAGTGGCAGCGTGAGCTTCGTCGTGAGTTTCAAACTTTTGAATGTTTGTGTGTTATTTTTCTTTCTTTGGTTAACATAGTTTGTGTTTAGTAGTTTGTTGTTGTTTAGTTGTTTGTTTACCAGCTCGGCTGGGCAGCATGCCCGTCGTAGACGTGGAGCAGGACTTTGAGAAGCTGACACGCCGACATGCAGTGAAGTTGGTGCCGGCTGTCAGCTGCTCGGTGGAGGAGGCTGGTTTAGCGGTTGGAGAGGTGGTGGGTTACGGCAGCGTGAGGTCTGCCTCCCGCATGAACGGGGCCATTGTTCTTTTTTTAGATAGCACGGCTAAAGTGAACGATGTGGTCGAACAAGGTGTCGTCATTAAGGACACTTTCACCTCTGTTCTCCCCCTGATCAACCCGGCTAAAAGAGTCACCATCTCTAACGCCCCCCCTTCATTAAAAATGAAATGTTAGTTAAAGAGCTGTGCAGGTATGGGCAGGTAGTGTCCCAGGTGAAGATGGAGTCCCCCCTGTGACCCCCGGGCCGTCTGCTGTGACCCCCGGACCGTCTGCTGTGACCCCCGGGCCGTCTGCTGTGACCCCCGGGCCATCTGCTGTGACCCCCGGGCCGTCTGCTGTGACCCCCGGGCCGGCTGCTGTGACCCCCGGGCCGTCTGCGGCTGCAGCTTATATAGCTATATATATAACCTATAGCTTTATAGCTTATTTGGTCTTCCTGCTTTGAAGAATGATCCTAGAAATTGAATCAGGTTTCCATAGCAACAACACCGTTACTGGTGACAACGACCGGGCATATTTATTTATTACAATAAATATTAAGATTGGGACCAAGCACACATGAGCTCTGTGGCATTAAGGTGAAACCAACAAGCTGTTTCTGCTCCTGAAAACATCGAACATTATTTCATTTCAACAGCCAGAGAAAACATGTATCAAAACAAATGACATCATCAGACTTCAAAACACAGATTTCAAACATTTAAAACTGTGCAACACTTTTCAAAATGTCTTCCTCAACAAGCATGGCTTTGACATCAGAGTGGAAACACGTCCTCTTGATGAGTCCTGATTGAATCCATCCATAAATAACTTCTTATTCACAAATTCTGGAGACGAGCGTTCACGTTGATAAATTTCATTCTGACTTTTAATCTGAGTGTTTTTGTCCGCACATAAAGTTAAAGCTAAAGCTCCTCCTGATTATGTGTTTCCAGGGTTGTCAGCGCCCTCGGGTGGCGAGTCGTCGCTGTCGTCCTCCCACGACGAGGAGGTGAACCCTGCGGGGGCGGAGATGGAGTGCGGCGCGGAGGTGTGGCCGAGGCCTTGGTACCGCCCGCTCGAGGAAGGGGAGGAGGGCATCGATGCGGCGGCCACGGCGATGGCGTCCTGAGAGGTCGCTGTGAGAAGGCCGGTGTGCTCTGTGTGTTCGGGTCGAGCCGCGGCACCAAAGTACATCTTGTTGGGACGACCTAGGAAGGTACGACCTGAGGGGCGGGGCATAGATATTTACCTCAGCTTTAGATTCACATATTCACAACAGAAAAGGCTTCTGAAACGTGAAGATTTGATTCTTTCTGGGCCAAATGTTTATTTTGACGTTTAAAGAACAAATCTGTAGGTTTTAAGGCACCACCACACGGCCATTTTGAAATCACTCTGACAGAAACACTCACCAGCATGGCGGACCTGCTCTGTGACATCAGCCCTGATGTCAGAGAAATCCCACATGGCCAGGAAGCTGTCGAAACATGACCCCTCTTCTGCTTCCTGGAGGGGAAATGGTGGACAAAAAAAGAAACAGGGTGGGGGGGGGACGATGTGAAGATAAAGGTTAGATTAAGTGGTCTGGTGTGGTAGTGTAAATGCTCATGTGTCCTGGGCAGCGTTAAGGACCGCCTACTCAACAGGGAGAACACTGCGTTACCTGTACGTATGGTTTGTAGGTGAAGGTGTAGTGGTGAGCGATGGCAGCCAGGAACATCTCTATGCAGATGATGAAGTCCTGTATATATGAAACAAAAGTTTCCAAATGTGTCAATAAAATAGCAAAAGTTTAATGATTTGGAAGAAACGATGAGCGTACCTGCAGTCCAGTAGCCACGGCCTCCACACTGTCCCAGTCCCAGGTGTGTTTATCGGAGATGACGCCCACTTTCACCAGGAACGCTATCAAGACGGCCTGCCTGGAGAGAGAGAGAGAGAGGGAGATAAGTGTTTCCGCTAGCTGGTTCTTTAAAAAATAAAAAAAAAGTATCTTCCATTCTTACCAGAAGGAGACAAACACCACCAGTTTGACGCAGAGGAACTTGCCCACAGGCCTGATGGGGGTCAGCTCTTCTTTGAGGGCTCGGTACAGCAGCACCAGGCAGTACATGGCAAACTGGAGAGAGGCATCACCGAGAGAGGGAAACACACCGAGTCGTGTCTTTAAACTCTGTCTACATGTTCAGCTGTCAGACACATTTTAACAGCTTATCATGATCTGAAAATTCCCCTTTAAATGCAAAAGAAACATTGCACAAGTACACAGAGCAGATTCTCACTTCTTCTTTGGCTGTTGGGAAGAAAATGTTCAACTTGACGGGTTAAAGTCTTTCTATGTGATTTTTCACACTTAAATGTAGAAATCAAGTATCTCCTCTGAAAATAACTCTGTGAGTCATGACTGTCTACAATGGGTGTAACACCCGAGTCCCACTGTCTGTGATGTTTTCAGAGTTTTCAGAGTCCTATCTTCACTTTGTTTACATCGCCGGGACGGCCGGCTGACTCCTCCCCTCGTGTATAAAAGTTGTTTAATTGAGGGACTAGAGAAAAGAAGAATAACATACTGTACTCACTGCTTAACTGTGTTTCTAGATCACGCTCATTTCAGGTAAATTTACATGCAGTGTGAAGATACCAGCATAATAAAGATCGCTAGCATTAGCATGCTAACACAACAATGCAGCGCGAGTTGTATTGGTTTCATGCTGGTGCTCAAGGGCGACACCTGCTGGATCAAAACATCACATATAAAGCCTTTAATGGTAGCTCAAGAAGTAGTTCCTCAAATGTCCACTTGAGGCTTGACGTGAGTCAATCCCCATCGAGTTTCATTTTCAAAATGTCCTGATTTACAACAGAAATAAACTTCCTTTACAGCCCGGTAAAGAATCTGTTTTGGTCTCTAAAGCTAATTTCTCTCCTCATGGCAACTGTGAAGGGGTTCATTTTGATTCATGTCACCAGTTTACATTATACTGGATGTCCAAGGCTCCAGGACTTTTCCAGTGAGTGAAGTCTCAGTATTTCTCTCTTGATACTTTTGCATAAAGTAGCTGGTATGGTGTAATATTCCTCACTAGTTACATCACTCATTACAGTCTCTGTGTGTGTGTGTGTGTGTGCGTGCGTGCGTGCGTGCGTGCGTGCGTGCGTGCGTTCACCAGTTGTGAGATGTTGTTGATGATGACGAGGTAGGACCAGGCGTTTCTGAAGCTGAAGTTGGCTTCGTCGTAAACCCCGCAGAGCTGACAGATCCTGCACACAGAGAAGACGAGTACAGTGTTAAACACCGTCACCACCAAATGGACTGAATATATAAGACCTGATTTTATTTGACTTATTGGAGTTCATGGGTGTTATTTTCTTTCATCCGTTAACCTGCTTTGTGTTTATTTTTCTTATTTTCTTTCTCTACCCCTCCAAGGTGAAAAGCTTCCTGTGTTCTTTTGTGAATAATTTCAATTGAATTAACGTCATGTTACTTAAATATGAAAAAATCTTTGGAAGAGCTAAATAGTTGAATATACTGCAAACATCATACCCCCTCTTTCTGCAAAGAAAGTGCTCTAGTGTTTGAAAGTTTGAGGGAGGAGTCTTGCAATTATTTCGTGTGTAATTTATGTGTAATTACTAATGTGTGAAGAATGCTTTTCCTAAAAAAAATAAAAAATAAAAAATAAACACCACGGTAACAAAGACTGTATACAAAGATGGACAGCATGCCAAAAGCGTTTAGAGCTCCCCCTGTTGACCGACAGGGTAAAGAGCAGCTTTGGAGTGACGCTAAAGCAGCTGTTGTACAGTGGCTCTGGTATCCCTCACACTCAGTGGTTCAGGGTCGCCTCGGATGGAGACCCAGAATCTCCCGCTCTGGACCGTACCCACCTGAGGGGTCTTTGACATTTTATCTGTAATCTATTATAAGTTTGTTTTAGTCAATGGAAGGGGCGATATCTGGGCTCCAGCAGTCAGTGGTATTTAAAGTGAAGTGACACCTATCACCATGGTTACAGTAATAAACTTACAGCGCTATCACCGTGGTAACTGGTCTGACCACAGTGTACTGGAGGACTCCCAGCTTACACCTGAACAGCAGCACCCTGAGGAGGGAGGAGAGAGGACAGAGGAGAGGAGAGGAGAGGAGAGGAGAGGAGAGGAGAGGAGAGAGGAGAGGAGAGGAGAGAGGAGAAGTTAAACATCCGTCTTCATCTTTTAGTGACCCTGTATCCGCCCCCCTTCTCTTACTCTCCCATGGGCCACGGCGGGCAGCAGCAGAGGGGGGGCAGGTGGGGCTGCTGCTGCTGGACCTCCAGCATCAGAACCAAACTGGGATACTGGTTACTGAGGAAGTTGAGCAGGAAGATCAGGAAGTTGTAGATGACGTAGGCCTCGTAGCACTCTCTGCACGTGTCCACGTAGATCGCCAAGCTGGGATAGCGCAGAGCCAACCACTGACAGAGGAGGGAGGAGACAGGAGAGAGGAAGGAGGAGGGAGGAGACAGGAGAGAGGAGAGAGGAAAGGAGAGAGGAGAGAGGAGATATAGAGGAGAGAGGAGATATAGAGGAGAGAGGAGAGAGGATAGAGAAGGGAGGAGAGACGATAGAGGAGGGAGGAGAGAGAAGAGAGGAGAGGATAGAGGAGGGAGGAGAGAGGAGGGAGGAGAGAGGAGAGAGGATAGAGGAGGGAGGATAGAGAAGAGAGGAGAGAGGATAGAGAAGGGAGGAGAGAGGAGGGAGGAGAGAGGAGAGAGGAGATATAGAGGAGAGAGGAGAGAGGATAGAGAAGGGAGGAGAGACGATAGAGGAGGGAGGAGAGAGAAGAGAGGAGAGGATAGAGGAGGGAGGAGAGAGGAGATAGGAGGAGGATAGAGGAGGGAGGAGAGAGGAGATAGGAGGAGGAGAGAGGAGAGGAGAAAGGGGTTTTAATGTTTAGAAGAAAGAACGTTTACATTCTATGCTGAGTGTTTTTGCGTCTCTCGACCTCTGAGCTCGTAACACTGTCTCGTTGTTTCCAATTAAGTTCTGCTGCCATGGCAACATAATGTAATTCTCTCTCACTCCCTGTGTGTGCATACGTGTGTGTGTGTGTGTGTGTGTCAATGAGTGAGCGTGTGTGTGATTATGACTCACACTATCCAAACTGTAGATGGGCACCATCCATAATATCCTGCAGGAGAAAGATGGAGGAGTTAGCTGAGAACAGTTAGAGGAGCAGTTTGAAAGATAAAGGTGTGTTTGTGGTTGTGTCTGTGTGTGTGTGTGTGTGTGTGTGTGTGTGTGTGTGTGTGTGTGTGTGTGTGTGTGTGTGTGTGTGTGTGTGTGTGTGTGTGTCTGTGTTTATGTCTGTGTGTGTGTTTGTGTCTGTGTGTGTCTGTGTGTGTGTCTGTGTGTGTGTGTATGTCTCTGTGTGTGTCTGTGTTTGTCTGTGTCTGTGTTTGTGTCTGTCTGTGTGTGTGGTTGTGTTTGTGTCTGTGTCTGTGGTTGTGTGTGTGTGTGTGTGTGTCTGTGTCTGTGGTTGTGTTTGTGTGTGTGTGTCTGTGTGTGTGTGTGTCTGGGTCTGTGTCTGGGTCTGGGTCTGTGTTTGTGTCTGTGTTTGTGTCTGTGTCTGTGGTTGTGTGTGTGTGTGTCTGTGTGTGTGTGTGTGTCTGGGTCTGTGTGTGTCTGTGTGTGTGTCTGTGTGTGTCTGTGTGTGTCTGTCTCTGTGTCTGTGTGTGTGTGTGTCTGTGGTTGTGTGTGTGTCTGTGTGTGTGTCTGTGTCTGTGTGTGTGTCTGTGTCTGTGTCTGTGTCTGTGTCTGTCTGTGTGTGTGTGTGTGTGTCTGTCTGTGTCTGTCTGTGTCTGTCTCTGTGTCTGTCTCTGTCTCTGTGTCTGTCTCTGTGTCTGTCTCTGTGTCTGTCTGTGTCTGTGTCTGTCTCTGTGTCTGTCTCTGTGTCTGTCTCTGTCTGTCTCTGTGTCTGTGTCTGTGTCTGTCTCTGTGTCTGTCTCTGTGTCTGTCTCTGTGTCTGTCTCTGTGTCTGTGTCTGTGTCTGTCTCTGTGTCTGTGTCTGTCTCTGTGTCTGTCTGTGTCTGTCTCTGTGTCTGTGTCTGTCTCTGTGTCTGTCTCTGTGTCTGTGTCTGTCTCTGTCTCTGTGTCTGTGTCTGTCTCTGTGTCTGTCTCTGTCTCTGTGTCTGTCTCTGTGTCTGTGTCTGTCTCTGTCTCTGTGTCTGTCTCTGTGTCTGTCTGTGTGTGTGTGTGTCTGTCTGTGTCTGTCTGTGTCTGTGTGTGTCTGTCTCTGTGTCTGTGTGTGTCTGTCTCTGTGTCTGTGTCTGTGTGTCTGTGTCTGTCTCTGTGTGTGTGTCTGTGTCTGTGTCTGTCTCTGTCTCTGTGTCTGTCTCTGTGTCTGTGTCTGTGTGTGTCTGTCTCTGTGTCTGTGTCTGTGTCTGTCTCTGTGTCTGTGTCTGTGTCTGTGTCTGTGTGTCTGTGTCTGTCTCTGTGTGTGTGTCTGTGTCTGTGTCTGTCTCTGTGTCTGTCTCTGTCTCTGTGTCTGTGTGTCTGTGTCTGTCTCTGTGTGTGTGTGTGTGTGTGTGTGTCTGTGTCTGTGTCTGTGTGTCTGTGTCTGTCTCTGTCTCTGTGTGTGTGTGTGTGTCTGTGTCTGTGTGTCTGTGTCTGTCTCTGTGTGTGTGTCTGTGTCTGTGTCTGTGTCTGTCTCTGTCTCTGTCTCTGTCTCTGTGTCTGTGTCTGTGTCTGTGTGTCTGTCTCTGTCTCTGTGTCTGTCTCTGTGTCTGTGTCTGTCTGTCTCTGTGTCTGTGTCTGTGTCTGTCTGTGTCTGTCTGTGTCTGTGTCTGTGTCTGTGTCTGTGTCTGTGTCTGTGTTTACCTGATGATCGGCCTCTGCAGCTCAGGCTGGGTGAAGTGCACGATGTGCTGCAGGATCCCCCACAGTGAGATGGGGATGGTCAGAAAGACGAAGACTCCGGCTATGAACCAGGCTTTACTGTGAGTCCCGACCTGGAGGAGCAGAGGGAGAGACCAGCTGACTGAACAGTTCAGAGGATTCTCTGTTTAAAAACTTAGATTTCATTAAAGAGATTTCAAACACGTTCAAAGGTCTACATGTGGTACAGAAAGCTTCTAGTCAGGGTGGAGATGAAACCTTGTCCTTCTGCAGCTCCCAGATGCAGAGCGGCAGCACGGCCACCAGCAGGAGAGCGTAAAGAACCAGGACCAGCGGGCGGATCCACCGCCGCCACTCTGAGCAGGAACACGGCATGACGACCCTCAGCGTTCACTACTGACACATCTTAACCCCGCAGGCCGCACCTGGAGGACCAGAAGTCAGGTTACTGCACTGGTTTAGACCGCCAAGACGTTCAACACTCATGGTTTTTGATACTACGTGTTTTTAAAACGATACAATCTCAGTTATTTGAATTATGAGAGGATTGAAAAGAGCTTTAAAAAGACGTCAGATCTTCCGTCATTTTTTTAAACCCAAAGCTGCAATGTCTGCTCGTTGCAGATTCACAAGAGTCAAATACACTGAAATGAGCCAGTGTATTTCAGTGTTACAGTGTGAAGGAGCTTGTTAGCAATCTGAATAATAAAAAACAATAAATTCCCCAGTATGTGGTGCATAAGGATTCTATTTTTGTTGGCTTGCTATCATATCAAACCATTGCAATTTTTAAATTTTGACTGAATTTTTTTTAGTTTACTTATTTTTTTTATTTCAATTTTTGGCACAGAACAGAAAAAAGAAATAGCAAAAAAACAAACAAACAAACCAAAAAAAAAAAAAAAAAAAAAAATAATAATAATAATAATAATGTAAAAAAAAACGACAGAATTAGAAGCACACAATGTAGTTTAAGATTGAGCACCTGTTCTTATATTATCCTAATTAACTGATACTCCTTTAAATATTATAAAACAAACATTTTATCATATTCAACCAACGAAGATAAAATCATATAATCAAACATGTCATGATGACTTCCTGATTAACGTAACATTACGTCGCAAAATGTAACAGTTTTTTTTTTAAAGCTAACAGTTGGATAAAAATATAAAATATAATCTTATTTATCGACTGAACAGAACAAACATGTCTAAGCAGAAATAAAATAGTTAATAAAAAGATGAGCAGAGATTAAATATTAACTGATTTTGACGGTTGAAGATGGAGATGATCAGAGTGACGGTTGGCCTGTTTTCCTCCTCGCTCCCGTTTCTGTTACCAGGCAACGCATCCCACTTCCGCCCGACCACCCACACACACACACAAATCAGCTGTCCGTGTGTGTGAACCGATCACTGATCATTAACCTCGATCATTAATCTGGAGGAGGGTCGTCAGGGTGTAGCTGCTGTCCGCTGTGTGTGTTTCTCCTCTTCCGGTCGGTCCGTGTTTACGCGCCCACGTCACGAAGGAGGAATCTCAACCGTCCACACTCCGTCCATTATACTCCCGCTAAGTTTGTTAAATTCGCTTGTTTAAATTATTTTATACGTTTTATTATTTTATGATCTGATCTGAAATAACAGGAATAAAAAAAACACCTGAAATAATTGTTTTCTTTAATGTTTTATTTTAATTAAAACAAACAAATGTAACCAGCAGTCAGGTAGGTTACTTTAGTCAAACTAAAATAAAAGCAGCATTATTTGAGTAAACACAAACTTAACTTTTTTTTCCACACTATTTTCATTTTTCCTTATTCCTTATATTGTTTTATATCTTTGTGTATGTGTGTTTATGTCTAAGCCTCTCAGCGGCTCAAAGACCGAGGCGATAACAAATGTAAACTGTGCTCTAACTTTAAAACCAAAGATGTGAAATCAGCGTCTCAGCTCTACACTGGTTTTAAAATGAACTTAGTAAATAAAGCAGCCAGCACACAAATACACACACCAAACAGATCTCTGAGAGGCTTTATTGATAAATACAAATATATAAAAACATGTTTCAGACTGACCGTAGATGTTAGCAGTATGAACAGATACTTGTATTGACCAATCTGCTGGATTTAAAGCCCTGATAATAAACATTACTGTTTATGTTCAAGCTTGTACTTTATGACTCCATTAGCGCCACCTTCAGGTCATTTTAGGTCCCATCAGAAGACGTAAAGGCTACAACCTCAGTTTCCTCTTTCAGTAATAGTTTTGTTGTGTGTAATGACAGTGTCAGCCACTAGAGGGCGCTCATAGCTGTTTTATGTCATCACAGGAAAAATGTATATTTGACATATAAAACATGAAGATAAAAACACAGCATGGCTTACAGAAAAAACAACATAAATATGTGATTCTTCATTATGTGCAATCAGTATTTCCTCTGAGAGCAAAGTCTTAAATCCTGACAAAAGCTTTTATTAACATGTGACTGTATATATAATTAAAATTCTGTGGGGAAATAAAACATTTAGAGATGAATAAATACACATTGAAAAGGTTTAAAAACGACACATTAACAGATCGATATAGTGGTTAGATGTGTTGTATCGATGTGGGCGTGTCTGGTTGGCTGGCGTCGCTGTGTGGATATGTTTGTGTCTCTCTCTCTCTAAGTGGTCAGTGTGTTTGTACTGCAGGCTCGTCCCGTGGTGAAGTGGCAGCATGCTGTTGGAGAGAGAGCCAGAGTAACACCAACAACACAGACAGGACTGGAAAGAGAGAGGGGGGGGAGAGGGGGAGAGAGGGGGTGGTTAAAGGGGAACACCAGCAATTTAAAAGAGATAGATTTTTAAAAGGGAAAGTCAAACGTGATGCAGAAGAGTCTAAAAGGTGAAGATAGTTTGTCCCTGGAGTTTATTAAATCGCCATAAACACCAAAAACTACATTTCCCATAATGCAATATCAAAATCGACTTCCTTAAACCCCTCCCTTTTTTAAACACATAATATATTTTTTGAGTTGTGGAGGTGAAAAGCTGCCAAAATAAAAACAATGTAGAACTTGATTAATAATGTGTCATGAACAAAGTCTCCCGACCTTTCTAAGTTAACATTTTATCTCCGTCTCACGCCCTTTGACCTCATCGTGATGTCACACTGCTCAACCTCACAGTTCGATCATCGTTTTTAGTGGGGTTTTTTACCTTGAAGCAGTTTTTGAACTTCTTGGAGACGAAGAAGAGGATTATGGGATTGATGCAGGAGTTGATGGTGGCCATGTTGATGCTGAAGTAGTCGAGCACCAACAGGAAACTGAAAACCACAGAAGAAGAAAAGAACACAATAGATGTTAAAAAAAGAAATGCACTCATTGTTTTTGTTTTTTTATCATGTTAAACTCCAACATGTCCTGCCTTGATGTGCTGTGATTGGTTACAAGAGCTCACATGTTCAAACTGAACTCTATCAACAAAGACATTATTGTTCATGATATGAAAAAGTCCAAAACATTTTATTCTATTATTACCAGATTCGATTGCAAAAAAGTGGAGTTCTTTGAGTGTCTATTTGAAGCTTCAAAAGTCACAATTGAGCCACCGATTGAAGAGTTTGCCTGACGTTGGAGACGGGAAAGCGAGTGAATAACAGTGTATCATCGGCATATAAGGAGTGTAACGGTACATCTTAAAGGACACTGACACCTAGTGGTTAAAATGGGTACTGCAGTCTAAATTCTAAACATTGTAGAGAGCTGTCTCCCCCCCCCCTCCTCTTTAGAGTTGATGCTCACGCAGGTTGCCATGTGGTGGACTCTGAAGCTTCAGTGTTTAGCCAGCTCTGCATGGGTCACAGCGATGAGTTCTGACTTGACTTATGGGTCACAGCTCATTTAAAGGAGCCTTAAGCTCCGCCTCTTTGCCCGTTTCTAGATTAAATGTCCTCCATCTTTCAGCTTCAAAAACGCCTCTTCAGCAACAGACGAGTGATGACACTTACTTCAGGAGTTCGCAGCGGTGTGCGTCATGAGGTTTGTAGACGGTTCTCTTCAGAAGGCGGCTCAGGTGAAGAGGAAACCAGCACAGAGCGAAGATCAGCACCAGGCAGAACACGGCTTTGGCTACTTCTCGACGCTGCAGAGACATAAAATGTAGCCCCGGAGGATCAGTCAGGCTGTCCTTGTATTGTGTGTATTCTACAATTCACTTATCAGACTCTTTTATCCAAAGCGACGTACATCAGAGAGTAAGAACAACACAAGCAAGGATCTAGAAAAAAGGGAACAATGTCAGTAAGAGCAAACGATCAGCTTTGAGTCTGATTGGACACACAGGTGCTGACAGGAAGTGACCAGAGGCAAAGCACAACATTGAGGGCAGTTCTTGAGAGCTCTAATCAGTATAGAAACCATCTTATAAGTCATCATTATCAAACAAAAACCATCGTCATTACCATCATCATCATCAATAATATGGAGACCATCATCATTAAGTTAGTAGGTATTCATGAAAGAGCTGGGTCTTTAGCTTTTTCTTAAAGGTGCAGAGGGACTCGAGTGTGTTTATGTGTGTGTGTTTGTTACCTGTTTGAGGTGCTCGCTCAGTGCGATCCTCAGACTTCCCTTCTGGTGTCGGAGCATCTCACAGGTCATTAGTCCGTAAAAAACAGCCGAGCAGGTCAGCGGGACGCAGAAGTAGAAGCCGAACAGCCACCAGTCCTTGGCGTCCCTGTAGAACTGAAACACACAGAAACAAAACACGTGTTCAGAGCCGACACACCTTCTCAGACAACACACACACACCCCACAGCTTCACTCACCGTCATGAAGGGCGTCGTGGGCTGCAGCATGCAGGTCGTCATGGTAACGTTTTTGTAGTCGAAGGTGACCATGTTGAAGCCGATGGCCTCGGGCACCGCCAACAGGAGGGACAGCAGCCAGATCACGACTATCTCCACGGCTGTTACCGTGGGAACGCCTGTGCCCTGAACCCGCGACCAGGACACCACCGCACGATACCTGGAGACAAAGACGAGTCTCTCCCATTATTAAGGGAACGTAAACCGAACAGCTTGAGAAGTTAAAATCAGTGTTCGGGTAAGTTGAGTAACTAACTAACTATCCCTCTTAACGTTCTTCTTAAGTAAAAACAAAGTGTGTGTGTGTGTGTGTGTGTGTGTGTGTGTTGTGTGTGTGTGTGTGTTACCTATCCACGCTCAGAACACACAGGTTGAGGACGGTGATTCCCACCGAAGCTTTCTGCAGGAAGGGGAACAGCTTACAGAGGAACAGACCAAACACACTGTCAGCGAAGGGCCATCGCATCGCCAGGAGCTGCACACACACACACACACACCACACACACACACACACACACCACAGATTAACACAGTGTCAGTGTGTGTTGTGTTATCAGCGTCACCACTTCCTGATTTATCAGAAACTTAACTTTGATCTTTGATCTTTTTACAGTATTTTTTTAACATTTAAGAATTGTGTGAATGCAAAAACGTACAGGGCCCAAGCCCCCAATAAAATACCCCAATGCACCAACCTCAAAGGTGCTTTATTTACTTTCCATACCTTGCCCTGCCTAAAAAAGCTAACCTGGCATTGAACCATTTCCAAGCTAATCTACTTCAGCTAATATGTCCATTAGCGAGCTAATATTACTGTAAACTAGCTAACAATTACTTGCTAGGAATTTGAAGTACTCGCAGGCTTCTTTTG